TACTGGATTTTAAAGGCCTTTGGCCAGGTTTCTCGTTTTTTTCCCATTGAGTTCGAAAAATNCAACACCTGTCTACAGATCATACTCTATGAATCACCCGGTTTGGATTTTTCGTCCGCACCCCGGAAGACTGAGAACATGCCTTTTATACTGGATTTTAAAGGCCTTTGGCCAGGTTTCTCGTTTTTTTCCCATTGAGTTCGAAAAATTGAACCGGGTGATCGCTTCCTTTGGGTTTTGCGCACACACCGCAACAAACCGCATCCCGATCCTAGCTGTTGCGGTAGAGAGATTACAATCGCCGCAAAGTCTCTCATGGGCACCGCTGGACGCAAAAAGAAATGGACAAAGGGGAGGAGAAGAATAAGCTTCAAGGAACAGGGCGAAAACGTTCTGGCGCAAACTGGTATCACGTTTTCCCAAGCGGGAGTCGATGCGCGCCGCTTGAAGTCTCTCGAGGACAAGGACTACCCTGCCTTGTCCAATATATTGTGACGTGTCCGCCCATCCTGCTGTTTTGATTGGTTGGGAAATATTTTAAAAAGTCTATTCGGCTAGCGACCAAGGACATTTTTTCGCCCTGAAAAACTTCTAATCTCGAGGTCTAACAGTCGCTCAGACTTTGCACCCTATCGGCTGTGTGATTGCAGGCGATCTACTCTCAAGGTCTAGAGAGCACATATCACGATGTGACCGGTCACCTTGTCTGTAGAAGGACAGGATTCGCTTTTTCCGTCGAATTCCACAGACCGAACCAACGATTCGGAGACGCCTTTCGGAAAGTGCTCCATATCTTTGGTGTCTTCATCACTTTGTGAGCAATCGCGATATCGAGACAGCGTTGCAATTGCTGTTGCTCATCCATATCTGCACGCACTGAAGTTCTCGAGCAATCGCGTTATCAAGACAGGATATATCTTGGCAATTATTTGCAATTGTTTGCCAGCGACTATGTTGAGACAGGTTGTCCCATGTCATTCGCTGTTGTTCACCTTTGACCAGCTACTGTGTTATCGAGACAGGTTTGTCTCTTTGCAATTGCTGTTGTCAACAGAAGCCGACATTTCCCAGCAATGGAGGCAGAGTGTATCTTGGCAGTTGCTGTCTTGTACCGTCCACTAGCGACCTCGTCATCGAGACAAGTTGTCTCTTGGCAATTTCTGGTGGTCGTTGTCTCCCGGCAACTATGTTTTCGAGACACGTTGTCTCTTTGCAATTGCTGTGCGATATTGTTACTGTATTTTCGAAACAGGTCGCCTCTTTGTAGTTGCTGACATGTACCAGCTTTCTCTTGACAATGATAGGCTTATCTGTACGGAACTGCTCTTCTGGGTTCATGTACCTACCTGAACAACGGTGATAGGGCGGTTGACGCAATCTAGCATGGGAGGATGCTGACCACATGTAAAAATGAAAGTAGTGTATATCTCAATGTGGCACCAGTGTAGGCCCCGTGGTCTGAAGAATTCGGTGCGTACGGCTCAGAACAGGTGAAGAGAATTTGGTGACATCTCTGTCTTGATTGACTGTCAAAACACGAGCGTGCTGTACGAGATTGTTGAGAACAGCTCTTTTCGAATTTATTTCGTACCCTAGGCGTACTACAAATGCGAAACACGTTTTCTCAACAGGTTCCCCACAAAAATTCCATCGACGGATGAAGTTGATGCTGCTCCAATTTCAGTTCAACTGTAGGCAGATTCTCGTCTAAAGAGTGAAGTGAGACCTAAACCAAGGTAAATCTACAGAATGTATGAGCATCCGCCACGGACTGTATGGTCTCTCGTGATGTAAATCCTCGCCGCTGCGTGGTTGAAGCAGCATTGAGCGTGTGCTCCCTTCGGAATCTTACACGACTATGGTTATATGCCTATTTTTACAGAATGGATGTTGACTAGAGTCGATGATTCCCCGCAAGACACAGAGGAAACCGAAGTGCTCTTCGCATTTTGAACCTCTTTCTTGATCGTGGGAGGACATTTATTGCCAAGCGCGTACTTCGCTCCGATTTCGAAACAATTTCAAAATGTCTGTTTTGTCTCCGTTCGTGCAACGATTACCAAGTGTGGGAGAACTTCCAAGCCGCACTGTGAATAGTCACCTGATGTAATCCTCATCAACAGGATGTCCTCCGTCAAGAGTGATCGAGAGAAGTGGGAGGATATTACCGGAGGCTCTCTGATTTGTTATAGGTGCAATATAACAGACCGACAGGGATTTATATTGTGAACGATCAAGGGATTTACATTCAGAGCGATGGGACACTCCGTCGAGAGAGCAAACACTGAGAAATTTTCAGTAAATCCCCCAAATGAAGAACGGGTTCTTTGTCGAGTTACGGGAGAAAATGGCAAGTGAACGAAAGTACCGGGTTAATCTACGATTTCAGCGCAACGCTTTCAGAGGATATGCTGGAGAATGGGACAAGTAAACGAGCGACAAGTAATGAATGAACGGTGTAATTAATTTTTCTGTGGTTAAATAGAGAGAAAGAGACCCCTGAGGATTGGAAAAATATGGTAGAAAAATACTATTCGGAAGTTCATCAAGAGCAGCAAGGGAGGACACAAGTGCAGCTAACGGAAACTGGCAAAAAGAATCGTGAACAGATTGGAGACTACGAAGACCAACTGTAGCTATAACTTGTGGAGAGGTTGGCGGAGATATCCAACTCGGATGGCCTAGAAGCTGGCATTTTTTTATCATCTGTGCATGACAGGCGGAGAACTCGGAGGATAGTTTGGCCTTGTGTACTCGGATATACTAAAAATGATCAATGAGCGGAAGCGTCAAGAGTTAGCTGTAAGTTTGAACGAACGGGCAATAGTTACATTTCTTCGAGGAGGTGGTCTCGGGGTCGAGACCTGTCTACCAAGTACCTCGCTTTCAGTCAAAAACCATCCCCGTGAAGGAAGAAAAAAAACTCCTTGTGAACACTGTCCACTATGAACGAAGGTGTCCCTTGCATACTTGTCCATGTGCCTCGTATCACGTACTGTCGGGATATTCGAACGCATTGCGACCGTTTGCACGTAAATCTGAGCGCCAACCGAGCCAATACCCGGTCTCGAGACACCAACTCGAGAGAAAGAGAGAGAGAAGAAGAGAAGGAAAGCTCCGGTCTCCGTGAGTCGTCACTTTCGCGAACAGAAATCGAAGATTAAGGGTGAGAGTTTTCGTCTTTTGAACGCTACAATATTACATACTCCATTCGTGTGAGTTGGAGCCATCAGCACGAAAACTCACACGATGAGCTCAAAACTCCAAGAGGTTGAAGTTGGAATTCTTGTTCTACATACGTTTGCTTATTGGGGTGCAGACCAAGAATTTTCATGTTGACTGACTTTGAGAGCAGATGCGGGATTAAAAGAAAAACGCCCTTTGGATATCTGTCAAAGATATATGGTAAATTAGGGGTTCTACCTGTCTAGTTGGCATGTTTATCGGAGAGAGAGACAGATAGATGGAGAGTGAGAGAGAGACTCGTGTGAAATGAATTATACTCTGCTTACCATCACCAAGGAGGCGAACCTAGGCCCTGCCTGATTTCAGGCTTATCTACATGAGGTTGCCGGGCGAAACCGCGAGAGACAATAGCGATAAACGCGAAAAGAACAAGTGTGGTTACATTTTCAGTCCCTTTTCTGTAGACCAGAATCTGCTGGAGCGGGCAAGCGGTGCGGAAGGCGAATGAAACTTCCACGGATATTGATTGATCTGAGAATACATCTTGGTACAATTTGTGTGTGTACATGTAGTTGGTGTGTGTATGTATATCCCTGAGCGGGTTCGCTGTTCGGCAATCATGTAATCCGCATCGGACCGCATCGGCGCGTGTGCCAGACCCGAGTTAGAGGTCTGAGAGAGGGAAACTATCGGCGCCTGTGTTGTTGTTTACATTAGACTAAAAATATATGTGTGAGCACAATACGGGGAACAAATACGGAGCCGCCAGTACAACTGTTATTAATAGATCGAGCCTCCTCTCGCAAACGAGGCTACTAGAAGCATGCAAGTTGCTGATGCCTCAGCCCGTCCCTGTTCACACTGGTTCTCGCGAGCTGTATGGTTTCCCCGTCCTTCACGCAGATTGGACTGAAAAATTGTCGTAAGAGTATTTTGCGGCAGCTATAAGCATGCAAGGCAAAGATGAACTGTTGGGGGAAAATGTCCGGCGAAGTCCGACAAATTTGGTTCGGTTTTTCGGTTCCATGTGGCGCCGATGGGATTTACCATTGACTTATAAAAGAAGAGATATTTCTCCAAAACGTGCCGAAGCTTGTGTACCAAATTTGTACGGAGGGCGAACGGGGGTAGCAGGCACACCTCTTCCACCTCGCTCGAAAATCTGCCACTGCAATCTCGAGGACATCGACAGAAGGAAAACAGTTTCTTCATCGACCGAAGGAAAGCAACTTGCTTTTAGAGAAGAAAACGGAGATTGTTGACCTGAGGTCAACATCGGATATATGTTGGAGAATTTGCGCTAAATAAAAGCCGCGGAGAGGGCTTCGGAAAATGTGGTCCCTTGGTTATTATTTTCTTCGGGACTGTTACTCTTTCTCTCTGGGAGACGCTCCCACCTTCGTGTCAAGGCTAGCCGTAGAGTACTTCCTGGTGGACCTTCAGGAGAGATTGAACTCGATTGATGCGGCGGTGGTTGCTGGAAAATGATTACGTGTCTTGGACACTTGCCTCGGTCGTGCGTGTCTGTGACGTTAGGTCCAAGAACACAAACTCCCGTACAGGACACGGCAAGTTCCAATGACGCTCGAATTTGCAACGGGAGAGGTGCTCGCGCCATAGGGATTCGGCAAAATATTGCCATATTAGATTAAGGGGGAGGTTCATTCAGTTCATGCACCGGAAACGTGAAACGTAAGATCCTCTTAGAAGCGGAAAATACTTAGTGATATGGCGTACAGAGGAATGCATACAGGTCATGCGGAAACAGAGACCCGGAGAATACGACGGCAGCTTCGGTTGGAAACCAGGATGGCAACCCAAATATTCAGCTCATAACCTCTTGTACTTTGGCTGTGTTGGGATTCATATTTACGTTGGTTACACAAACGTGTTGCATCTGCTGCTCGCGTCTTTCCAATGACCTCTTCGGCGTTACAAAGGTGGAAACTACGTAGAACAGCTTAACTTGTTAACCGTTTCCGCAGCAGTTGTCAACACGCCCAACAAAGACATGTGAACAACTGCGACCACGTACACAGCAGTCACGGCTTGCTGTTCGTAGGTTTGGAACATCGGGCGGGTTGTCTTCCAGTCTCATCACACACTTCACAGCAGTAAAATGGCTCACGCCCGACATTGCCCACTCCTTCCGCCATAAAATGTTACAACTCGGGAAAGTGATGCTACATGATTGAGAAGCGCAGCTGCTGTCGTTTGCCATAATGTACGTGTACAGTAGTACCGAAAACATTCGCAAAATCATAGCACAAGTCACACCACATAGGAGGGATAAGTAAGTATAGACCGAGCGAAAGCCACATACTTACCTGCAAGCACACGATGCTGAGATACACTCAGGGCGGTGATGCTGCTACTGCACAATTCTCCTGCAGGAAAATGACGCGAAAATCCAGGACTAATCTCAAGGGAAAGCAGACCCAAAAACAATTCACCATGTCAAGACAACCACCAAACATCGAATTTTTGCTCGTCCTCTGTCCGTCGATTTGGGCCAGACAGAGACCAAACTCTTCGGTATTCTTCCTTGCTGAATTTCGTGCGGTTCTTCCTGATGAACGACTCCAATTCGCCTTGCGTCATGCTAATCAACGCCACGTACTGACGGGCCCATCCAAACCTCTCTCCGACTACACCCGTCGGCGCTTGGGTTCCATCACTTCCGGGTACATCAGCTGCCGCACCCTCTTCTTGAATCCTAGCCTTGTGGTCGTCCGTGACGTCTCCCACAGTCTGCTCAAGAGTGTTCAGAATTTTGTTCAACTTCCCGATCCCGCCAACTGTTACAGTCTTTGTTTTCAGGAAATAAAATGAGCGGACGAACAGACGGGGAAGAAGACGGGGCAGCGGTGCCAGCACGAAAGAAAGCAGCTCTCTAGGACAGAGTAGAGCCATGCTGCCCTTTGGCTCAAACGGGCTGAGAGCTTCTTGCTCCTCACGAATACACCGATTAAGTGTCACCACGCATTGGTCTTCGACGCTCCCAAGGCTCATTGCTGTGGTGGACCCTTGCCCGCTCGTCACCTCCAGATTGATAGATGGGAGTTGTTGCATGTAGAAGCTTACCAACATGTACACCTGGACACAACACGCGGCGACGACGGGACAGCAAAGTTCAGCCACCATATACCTCATGCATCTAGCTGCAACGCGAGACCCTGTGTTTCTCCACACTCTCGCGTCGACGTCATGTCCCACCGATAGTGGAGCCCTCAACAAGGAAAAAGCGGCATTTTCTCACCTCGAGGCGAAGACAGAGGAGGCTGTCATCTGCGAGCTGTGACAGTTTTCGCCCGATTAGCCGCAGTTTTTGCGCTGGTGCCGTTGCGCTCCCTGTTGTACTCGATAAACGACGCTCAGCATCGACAGTTCTGGAAGGGGAGCCAAGTTTTTGTCCTAGGCCAGAGGAAGGGTCATCAGTTGAAGACTGGTGCTTGATCGCGACACAAACCTTGAGAACCTTATGCGATAGCCAATCGCAGCTGAACGCCAAGCAGGCAACAGCTTGTTGCTTCCGCAAAGAGAGAAGACTCTGTCCGACGCAACACGAGAGACGGAGGGGGGTATCGTTCAGATCGGGGCTTGCTTATATAAGACATCGACAAGCTCCACAGCAAGTCGAGGAGATTATTGCTAAATTTAATAGGTGCACAAAATGGGTGAAAACAACTTTCGCCACGTTGAAACAGCAGTCTTCATTATCACACCTTTGAGTTGTGCAAAACCTTACCAGTCACCAGCTGCATGTGAGTTCCACACATCAACACCGAACGTGTCAGCGTAATCGCATGTGTCAAGTCCCCATGTGTTTCGACTCGGGTGAAGCGTAGCCAACCATGACCTCGCAACCAACACGACACTAACTAGCAATTTTTCCGACGCGCGCACCTGCTTCGTCACTGAGAAAGGAACGCTGTCAAACTTCCACAGGTCTTGAAGCATCGCGAATTCGCTCTCGAAAATATCATCGGCCTCCTCCTCGCCAGATACTTCGAGATTCGCTTCTCTCCCCCTCCGAGTGTCACGCTCAATACCCTTCGTGGGTCCACCCAGCGAGTGCCGCCCTTTCAAAAACAGCAAGTCGTCCACCCCGCTATCATCCCACCGGAGCAATCCACCTGTACAACATTTTCCAAAACTCGTCAACGACGTCTGCGCAATATGTGAGGGACAAAGGAAAGGCCAACTCTAATCTGTTTTGTTTGGATGTGTTCCAAAGAATAAGGAGGACTGTTCATCCAAGCAAACGAGAAGGTTGGAATGAGCCATACATTGAGAACTCGCTCATTTGAATTGTACACCTACGGGAACGCCCGTGATTGGCCGAGACGCGATTTCACCATCAGCGCCATCCGTAGCCGTGATACGGTAAGTTGGCAACGGGATCACCCTTCGCCCTGTCCGTGGTGGAAACGTGGTAACAAAAACGTCAAACTGTAGTTCATGTGCTACTTTTTTACTGCGGCAGCTTGTCCGTGGACCGCCTTCGCGAGAAATTAAATTTATGAAGAAATAGAACAGGGAGGGGGGTACGCAGACCCTATCCTTAATCCTAACCCCAACCCAACTTCTCCGATTGTTGCTTCGTCCAACATGTTTGCATGATCGAAAAGCCCTGCAAAGGCTACTGGGCGTTTACCCTCCACAAGTCTCAAACAGCAACATGTGGAGACTGCAATGCTATCCCAGCCTCCGACAACTTGAGGGTACGCTCGGGGTCAACAAACGGACTGGAATGACCAGATACGCACTCACCATAGACGAAGGTCTTGTACGTGAGGTATTGTACATCCATCCGGATTAGATCCCGTAGCTTGTCGCTGAAACGCTCCAATCGCGATCGAGATGCGCTGGAAGTGACATCGATTGAGAGCGCACGAGTCAGATACTTGACGGATTGGTTCGACACCTTCTCTAGATTCTGTTTGCTGAACTACTATGGTAAAACCAAGAATCTCAATCCTCCACCCTCACCTGTTGACGATGATATCCTGGAACTTATTCTGAACCAGCGCGAAAAAGTCTTCCAAGCTTGTTCGCAGAATCTCACCAATCTGCAGCACGGTTCATTCAGTACAGCCCAATATTTTGTCAAAGGTGTTGCAGATCGATGCGCTAATTGCAACTAGACTCTGATTGTTGGGCGTGTATCATACCCATCTCGATAGGGTGAGCGTCTACACAGACCCGAGCTCACCTCCTCAGCGTAATGTGGCATCTGTACCATAGCTCTGAACAGCGTGCGCGCTTGAGCGTAAACGTCCTCTGCACCTCTGCTTGGACGAAGTGCACCCGCGCTGCCGGTTACGCGCTCACGCGATGCAGCGCTGCCATCAGCGGGACTGAGTTTGGCAACGCCTTGTGATCCAGAGGCCATTGACGTCGGGAAGCACCAGTCGTGGTCTCCTAACATCTGCAGCATGGTACGAGAACGGTCAGGCGCAGTGAACGACATGTCGAACAATTCCACTACACTCTACAATATGGAAACTAAACACTTGGTAGAGCTTGGAGGAAGGCACTCGCGCTCTCATTGTCTAATGAAACACAGAAGGTAAAAAGAACACACAACCGCCGAAGGGATACTCGCAAGAGGGCACGCATTACGCATATGAGGAGTACACTCCCCGATATTGACATCGATGTTGATCGGCCCTCTGACCAAAGGGAGAGGGAGGGTGAAGTCCATTTTTAGTGTGGAACGCTTCAACCTAGTCGTGAGGTATTCTGCAACACACAAGTATTGGGGCTGGACAACAACGTCGATATACAACTCGTACAGCGAGTGCAACAGAGTAGGGTCTTAACGTTTCCCGAACAGTTACGCAAAGACTTTTCGTGGAGCTCCAATACGAAACATAGACAATCTACCGCACTCCGACGGCCGAAACCTAGCGAATCTAACACAGTGTCTGTCCTGGGCGTTACGTGCCCTTCTAGACGAGACCCAAACGCATCTCGGTTGAAGAGGGACACCGAAAAAAACATACCCCAGCTGGTGGGGCAGGACAGATCAGCTGCAATGCAATGTAACTACAGTAGCTAGGTACGTCGTCGTGATTTTTCGGAGGCATCTCCAAAACAGCAATTAATTCCCAGCACACCACCGGGGCTCGTCAGCCGTTGATCGCGGTTCGTCAAGTCATGTGCATATTTGATTGAACGACAGTGCCCTGGGCGGTAGCAGGTACTTTTGCAGCCCAGTTCGCGGAATACCGTAAAATCTAACAAAAATATTGTGATGCTCGACAGGATAACTGGATGTGAAAGGCTATGTCCTCTGAATTCCGCGCCATTTCGCGTCAAGGAAAGTTGTGCGCTAGGCGGAAACGAGTCAATGCAGTTGAGTCACAAAAGTCATTCGTAGAGCAGAAAAACTGACACACCGCTGAAATATCCATATCCATGCATAGCGAGGTGCAGGATCGTGTGGCATCGACCATCAAGAGTACGGTAATCAAGTACCGCGCGAATTGAGCATATCGTTCGTGAGGCTACCAAGCACAACAAGGACGACGAACAAACCACTGAGCACGGTCTTCTCTGGCAGCATGTCTAGTCACCTTGGCATTCATGATCCGGCAGTTTGCACCTAGTAGAGGCAACAGCTTATCGCGAGCCGTGGCATGCATGAATGCTGACAGACTGTTTCCATCACTGTCACCTCCCTCCGGCACTACTCGGCGAGCGCCTCGTTCGTGGTGGATATGACCTGACTCGAAAACCTCCTTTTTCATTGCGTTGATCATAGCCTGAGAAGATGAGGAATCGATTGACGCACGGCACGCTCTTGTCACATACTCCCCGTGCTGCCACCCCAATGCCGACGGGGTAGTGTTCCGCGAAAGACTGCGTCGGGCACAAGCTAGCAGTAGAGGTATCGAATATGAGGTCAGAGTATCCACCCGGCACAAAGGCAAAATGGGTATGCGTTCAAACGAGGTTACGCGAAACGGAGCTAGCTGCCTACCTAGTACATGAGCGCAGTACGCTGGTGGCAACGCAAGTGAGTGACCAAGACAGCCTACTCTCACCTCTTCGACCTCCACAAACTTGAGCGTTGGGCGGAATATGCTTATTATGACCATCGGTGAAGGATCCGCCAGCACACGGGAGCTGCAGTACTCCGCAGCGCTCACGTGATTCAGTTCCATCGCCGTGGCTGTGCTGGCCAACCCTGTAGAGGACGACTCGGGACGCCTCAGAGGGCGGAAGTACGGGACGGACGAAGGGATGCTGGTCGGTTCGACGCCCGACGGGTTAGGACCGAGCCTGCTGTTCTGCGCTCCTCCAGCATCTGTCTTGTTGGTGTCTAGGCCCATGTCCCCATCTTCTGGTCCTGAGACGTGTCTCGAGAGGACGTCGATGAGGTGCGCCTGGATGTACTGCCATACTCCAACTACAAGCGAATCCTTGTAAGATGCATCTGCCTCGAATACAGGAGCCCCGGAGTCGTGCTCGCGGAGGTCCCGGAGTCGGGCGGCATGGAGCAGTCGAACAAGGCGGATCAGGTTCGCCAGCACGGATGTGAACGAGTCAAACACGAGACTTAGGTACTGCGTCAAATTCTGACCGCGGGCACCCAACCCGTCACTTTTGCTTTTGCTGTTGAAAGCCGTCCCACGTGAAGCTACATTGATCTCGTCGTGTTTTCCCACGCACGTGCGCATGTGTGTGGCACTCAGAGTCAACACCTCATTCGGCAGTCTCTCCAGTAGATATCGTTCGACGTCGTCCAGACACCTAAGCCGACGAACAGCCTCGACCAGTAGCCGCAGGTACACGCTCAACTCCTGCGACGGATCATCAAGTGCCTGCTCCTCGTGGTCTCCCACATCCGTCACATCCACTTGGATGCCTGCCCACAATCTTCCTGAAGCATCCCCTCCGCCGGCACTGGACTCCGAGGCAGCATCAGATGGGACCCCAGCACCCCCTACAGCGACGGTGCCCTGCCCGCGAGACAGGACATTGCCCGTGGAATCCTCCATCGACGCTCCGCTCGCTCCACCTCGCTCCCTCCTCCTCCTACTCTGAGCGACTCCTCCCGCTTCCCTTACTTTGTCTGCCGCACTCACTTGAGCAGCTGCAGCTCGGAGGAACAACACGTCGGCGATTTCCTCCACCAACGTATCAAGTATCCTTCCCTTTTGCGCAAGCATTTCATCCCGCACACTGGCTACTGCCGGAACATCGACCAACTCGGCACTGAAGATGTTCAACAGAGACTCGTTCAACAGATCAACAGCGCCGACAAACCTCTTTTGGCGAACCAAGCGCTCGAACTTGACAGGAGCATCCTTTCAAGCAAGTAGCACGAATGGGGAGGGGGGGCACAGAGAGGCCGCTCATTGATCACCCGTTGTGCACTCGTTCTCGCGCGGGCACGGGGCACGAACTGTAACAGCGCAAAAGATTTCCGAAAACGATCATACCTCATTTTGAGAACGGACGCGGAGCATCTGCGCGCTGGTAACGCGCGTAGCCCAACGTTTCTGGAAACAAAGTACCACACATTACAAGGTCCGGACAAACCACATCGCACGCCACCAGAGGCCTGATCGAGTGCACGGAGCAAGCGCGAATATGCAAAGGGGTTATAGGATCAGCACGGAAGTTCCATCTCCGTACCTTAATCATATCGAGGGCGTTCAGCAGCCGTAGAACAAGGGAATACTGAAGTTTGCGCTGCCACAGTTCCCGAACGTCGGTCTGGCTCGAGCCGCTCTGCAGCAATTGCTTGCACTCCCGGAGTTGCTCTCTGAGGGTACCAACGTTGGCGCGGGTCTGATTGTAATGTCTTGCCACCCCACCCATCGCTTGGACGGAACTGTTCAGACTACCATGGTGCTCCACAGTGATGCGTTCAACCACATCGCTGCACACTTGCAGCTGTCGCTGGATGTTGTTGTGAAGAGGGTTACCCGCCAATCGGTCGTAGTCCGGGCTCTCGTCAATGTCATTGTCTTGATCAAGACTGACACTCAGAATCTCAATCACCTGATTGAAGGGCCTGCGCCGTTCGCGGAGAAAGGAAGCAAGAGACAGAGATTTTCTTCGTTCAGCATAGAACAGATGCGTAATAAACATGGCTTCCCAGATATTCTACTCATGAGTATGGACCGTGGCTTTTTCAAATATCTCAATCTTGGCGCACGATGTACAGTACAATACCAGTACTGGCTTAGAAGAAAACAAGCTCAACAAAATTGTGCACACACGGCGCGCGGCCTTCAGCGTCATGTCTGTTGGATACGCCGGCGTTCAATGTCTACATGAAATCGTGCATGTCGACGGTAGAGAAAACAGTCGGGATGGGAATCTAAGGCTCAACACCCTGCTCGCCAAAGATTGTCTCCTTTCGGTCTACACCATGGAAGTCCCGGGATTCTCTTCAACTCCTTCGATGGGGACTCGAGACAGGTGAATTATGAACCATAGCAGCACTTGTGCGAAATACTCACGCCACAGATTGCGGCGTTGCGTTGTGCTGCCATCACGCAGTGTCTCCATATCCCCATCATGGAGCAAACGACGTCGATCAACCTGTTCTTGGATACAGAACGCGGCCACGTTGGAGACTGACTGCCTCTGTATTTCTACTCGTCCGCAGCCTTTGTTGGAGTAACGATGACGCCGACACGAATAAAGTGGTGACCTTGTGGGCGCAGTGAGTTTGAACCCTGATCGGTCCCAGGAGAAAAATATCGCTTCTGAGGAACACAATAATGTAGATGAACCAAACTTGGAGACGTCCTGCATCCTGCCTGGTGTGCCCTTGGCTTCTCACACCAAAAACGATAAAAAAATATTGTCAATCTCCACGCCTTTTCGTTGTCCGGGAAATGTATTTTTGGCAGCCCGTCCCCAACAACGAAGGCTGCTAGGCCCACTTGGGTCACCACATCATGTTGCCCACACAGACAGCGGTGTGCCACCGAAGGTCGCGCAGAGTAAGCTGTTAACACAACTGTGAGTTGTTTTTGACCCTTTTGGGTCAAGAGGCGTCCTGACAGATCATTGATTGATTGATGATTTGCATATGCCGGTGTTGTGGCATGCCAGGAGTTGCCGCCCTGTATCCCTTCACGCCAGGTGTTGGCAAGTCAATAGGTAGGTGTGTATATTATTCGCATCGACCGCGCTACCCGGTGACCAATCAAAAGACGTTAGTGCCAGCGGGTAATATCAAGGTCCTAAAAACGGCCAAAGTTCAAAATATGCATACTGCTCTAAATGCGAATGTCACCATGACTTCTCCGCATATTCTTTCACAGTGACACATCAATAGCTTCACATACATGCCCTCGCCCGAACCTAGGAAGCCACTAAAGCAAAGACAGGAGGACAGCGAAAAAGGGCACTTAAAGCCCAAACAGGCCACAATATCGTGGTATGCTGCATATCCTTCAAATTCGAACATGGTACACTCCCAATATCCAGCAGTCATCATGTCAGCAGCTATACTACTACTGTACACAGCAGCAGCGGTATAGACGAGTCCACCATACAGCAGCTGTAGTAACACATACACTATCATCACCGCCCCATACAGACCCTCGCCCGAACCTAGAGAGCCACTGATGCAACGGTAGGTGTGTACTGGTGTGCCTGCGTGCTTGTGTGAATTGTGGCAAAATCACAGGAGCTGCAGTGAGCCGGCAGGGTTCACATTGGGGAGGGGACACAGAAGTACACAAGGACAAGAACCGGCAGTGGGTCTACAAGCCCTCTCACTGCTCATTTTCACTGATCATTTGAATATACTGAAAAAAGAGTTGTTCAGGCGGCTTCACGACTGATCTTTTCGAGGTCTACAAGCCTGACCTGCCCTACCGGCCGCACCGCTACCACACATCAACCCTTCCATGACTCTGTAGCCCCTCCTCACCGATGGGTGGAGGTAGCTGTTGCGTCTACACAAGGACACTCGTCTCTTTCTGCTGTACTTCTGTCTCTTTCCCCGCACTCTCTCCTCTCTTGTTTTTTATTGCCCGCAAAAAAACAAAGAGCTAGACCCAAAGGGATTAACCTGTGAATGTGCTCTGAACCGGAGGAGTGCTGCGCTATCACATCTGAACTGAGGTCGTGTCGTTGTGCATCAGGCGGGATTGGCAGCTCTCAGGAGGCAACTCTCATGCCCATGTGACACCATCGTAAAGTCGACCAAACCTATCCAAAACTGGGCTGAATTATGTGCAAGTGTTACCAGGTACACGATAAGCCGCCACAAACCGCTTATGGCGATCGGATTCGGCCTGCAGGAGTGGACGAAAGCGGCCCAAATACCTCTAACCTCCACGATATTGTGCATGAGCATAGCGTCACACATGCATGTATCGATTGCGAAAGAGAGAAGGAGGGCGTCCATAAATGCTCATGAACCTACCTCCTAATGTCATTCCACGAAAATCAAATGTTGGTTGGACGCACCTCCAAAACTTGGAGACAACGTTAGCCATTCAAGAGGAGGCAACGACACAACGCACGGAATCATTTTGGTGTCAAGCGGGACAAGTTCATTTCATCCTTTGGTTGGAGCAGAAACGAAATCCTGCGGAGGAAATGGCTGATGAAATGATTCCATTTCCAGTCAGACCAGGGTACAATTCTTGGGAGAAAAGTAGCCCGAGGCAGGATACACCACGGGCTTTTGTGGGACACGCAGGGTGAAAGTGAACATTGAGTCAGCAAGGCTCTTTTGACGTTGCCACATGCTGGTAGCCGTGTACCCAGCTTTTAGCCGTGTACCCAGCTATTTAGCCGCTTTAGTTTTAACATGCCCGGTTCTTTTGTGTGCGCTTCAATAGACCAACTCTTGTGGAAGGTCTGCAGTTCCTGGGATGTTGGTTGAAGTGAGGCTGCCAGGACATACCAACCCTTACGGAGCTATTATTTGCCGGAAATCTGCGATTTCAAATCGCATAAACTGTAAGGATGCGGGTCTTGGCACACTGTGCGATCGTCATTTTAAATGTTTTATTCTCTGTTTTTCTATCGCACAGGGGTGGCAAGACGCCGATGAGCGCCATGTACCCGATACCTGTGCGGGACATGACTTAAATGTTTGGTCCTGAAAATATAACACACACCCCTGTGCGATGACTCCGATCCGTGCGATTCTGAACAAGTACGAGTGGCGGTGGGGTGTTGTGAACGCGCACCCCCGCGCCAACACTCCGATGTGTGCGATCCTGAACAAATCCCAGCAGACATACACCAGCACTTCGTGTGCATGTGCAGGTATTGCAGCATCAGGACCACAAAATAACGATCACAGACAGGCACAACAGCACAACAACACCCCAAAACACACAAAACACATGCAGCGAAATAAAAATCCGATGCAGCGAGGCGGCGAATTACCTTGAAACTCCCCAACACAAAGGTGTGTGCTCACACACACACCACAACGCAACACGTTGGCTACGATGTCAGACAGCGCAAGCGCGGAGTCCGTATTTTTCGTAGCACCATAGTTGGTTGTGGTCGTGTGGTCGTGAGGTCGTGTCGTCTCGTGTGGTTTGTACGCGTTCTTGGTTGATTGAGTAGAAACCGTTTGCCGATTCCGACAAACATAACAATGTCGAACAACATCACTTCGCATGAGCAACGTTACGATGCCAAACTACAGCAGTGGAGCCCCTGAAACAAGCTATGTACCTTGGTACAGTAGTGGCCCGCGACAAAAGTTGGAAACCATGGAATCACCCAACCTCGCCGAAGGTATCGGGGTCTCCGCACACCCCTGTGCGAAGTGCCATGGTAGCCGATCAATTAAATCCCATGAAACCCTAATTTTTTACCCCCTGTGCCAAGACCCCAGCCTGTACCATGTAGCCGATCCGTGCCAAGACCCGCATCCTTACGGTACCACGGAATCGTGTTGCCCGCTGGATTTGGAGGCCCAAATCGCAGCGGAAATGTTTAGCTGGGATTTGGGTTTTGAGGTCGTTGTGCAGGTGTGATTGCGCGCGCGCTGAACCAATTGCACGTTATCTAGGTTTTAGAATACATCACTTGATTTCAAAGAGGGGTCAGCAGACCGCACGTTTTTCATTTTTTGGAGCACACTGCAGATTGGAAATGCAGAACACACGCACAGGCACACGCACAGCAGACAACACACGCACAGCAGGCACAGCGGGCGACAAAAGCGGCCAGGGAAACTGAGGGTGCAGCTGCTGTGAGCTCTCTCTCTCATACACACAGGCTGCAGGCGGACCGGCAGAGACCGGCAGCGAGCCGCCGCTAAGCGACAGCGAGGGCAGCCGACACCAGAACAGCGGGTGCCTAACCGAGAGAGAGACGCTGCGAGCGGCCGGCAGCAGACACCACAGTAGCTGGCAGCTAACCGTGAAAGAGACGCTGCGAGCCGCCGGCGGGAGATACAACAAGCGGTAGAGGCCAGGTGTGTGCGGATATCCAGCGAAATATGTACGGAGGTCAACATTCGCCCGGGACAAGTACAATGAAAAAAACGTCATGCGCATACGATGGGGATCGAATTCACGTCTGATCATAGAAATGCCCCTGTTCCCCATATGCTACCGCTGTTTTTGGACGATCAGGCCCCGCTACCCTCCTACCCCACCGCCTGCCGTCCCCCGTTTGTCCGTACAGTTGCCCACGGGAGCGAAGGACAAAAACAGCCCCAAGCTATTCTCCTCCGAAAACAACATGGATCCTGGGAGCGAGCCCGCCGAGCTCCAAGGCGATACACAAGTCACAGGGGCAGACTATCGCCAAGGCCGTCATAGACTTGAGGCCCACGGAGGCCTGCACGGGGCTTACTTTCGTCTGTCTCAGTAGGGCGAAGAGACTTCTTTGTGGACCTCATCGTAGAGCCCAGGAGTTTCAGCAGGATAGGCAACCTTGGAAACTCGTCGACAATGAAGGCTAGGCTGAAGGAAGAGGCTTGGGGAGTTAGCACAGAGCACGAGGGTGAAGTACGCGGACGTGCGCATCTTCAGCGCCGTCGCGGGTAACCAATGAAATCCGCTGGACCAGCAGATGCACACAAAGTCAATTACAACAAAAAAAGAAAATACGGCTCTCGTCCACCTGCGGTGCCCCTCGCAATCACAAGCACTACTTCCTCCCGTGGACACACATGTCTTACGACAGATATATCGATCAGCTGTTGCTCGTTGTAGCGACAGCTACAATATCTTTATCTCTGCTGCTGGATGGTCTCATAATAACAGTACACAATAACCGGCGTTGCCTATCTGCTTGTGTGCTGATCATGTGGTGCTGCTCAACAGAGCAGGTAGGTGTGTGCTTTTATTATTAGCATCGACCGCGCTAACCGGCTGACCAATGAAAAGACGTCAGTCTCAGTGCGGCGGGAAACACAAAATGTGTGTGTGTGTTTGCCCCTCCCGATACTAACACAAAAGGAGCTGTTGATGTCTGTCGTGTGTCGTGGTTCGAATGGAACCAACCGTCAGTTGGTGGTCTGTCGAGTCAAAACCGGTGTTTTTCCTTTTCGCGACCGTCAGGGTTGATGTCAAAAGTCGCAGCTTCCCTCTGTTGGCCTGGGAATTTCTACCTCATTCTGTGGTTTCCAGAAAAAAAGACCTTCCGTAAGAGTTTTACGAATAAATGTAGCAAACCAAACCGCTCAAGAATAATCGCGAGGAGCATACCTTTAAAAAATTAAAAAAGCATGTTCCATGAATCGGCGCATCGGCGATAGTAACACTGACGTACCAGGTGGTCCATGTACTTCGACGTACGCATGCATACGTATGCAATTAGGGATCGTACATGTAAGAGAATAAGCCCGCGGTTACCCACGGGAGATATCACTGCGGTGTCCTTCTCGGGAAATCGTGGAAAAACTGTGGTGGCCAGATACCGCCCAAAAGTTACTGTGCCATGGTGGCCGGTTACCGCCTAAATATGTCTGTATTGTTCCGTGGTTTCTGGATAAGGCAGGAAATGATGCCGACATGAAATGGAATACCGTTAACGAAGACAGCCTGAAAAAAACAGAACTTTCGCTGACTCAATGGATTCATAAGCTAATCCATCTTTTGAGACTCTTTTCTTCGATAGAGATGTATTCGTTGTGGTCATACTGATGAAATAACAAAGCCTGCGGAACCCCGGGTTGTAAGTGTATGCTGTTCGTTGGATTGTGGGAAGAAACAAACGCAAGGCCTGCTGGGATCAACACGCAGCCCCCGTGTGTTGTTATCCTTACAGCACTGCAAGCGGCATGATTCGTACATTAGAAAGCATCAGAGACGACCAGCAGTGCCAAATCAGCCTGTCGGCGGCAGCATGCAGTGCGTAGAGCGTAGGTCCTCGAAATCTTTCGCGAGCACAGTAGTACCTCCTTATCTTTTGGTGTGTGCTCCCCCGCAACGAGGTGCATCGTATGGTTTGTGCACACAACACGCAACAGCAGCTCGCAAGTCTCACCGGAAATCCTGCTCGGCCTCGAAGAAGGCGGGATCGATTTCTATGCGCAGCTTGTCTTCGAGGGCTTGAAGGTCCACCCCATCCCGTTTCCACCTGGACGGTGGTTGCGTCTCTCCGTCTCGCTTACTCATAGTGATACCCTCCCACCCCCCACTGCCTCTCTCTCTACCTCTCTCTCTACCTCTCTCTCTTCGTGCCAGTGCAGTGCGCACTGGGTGCGAGTGATGGGGGTAATGGGATTGTTATTATTCCAGGTCTCCAGGTCTCTACGAAACCCCCAACCAGCCGTTACAAGCAATTACACAACCGACATGCGCCGATCTGTATGCTTGTACAATTTTTGACAACTCTCAGGGCTCGCTTGATAGCCCCCTCGCAGGCCACAAGACAGCCAAATGGCTGATCCTAGTACTGCTGATGTGCAGGCCGAGTTGAAGGAGTATCTTAACTCGAAGAACATTAACAGGTGTGTTACAGGTGCGACCCTGTCGCTGGGCTGGGTCATATGCTACAATATGGACGGCGCGCTTGTGGTGCGTGCAACCTATGATTTCTGGGAGCATCGTCGGGTAGTAATTTCTTGTTAGCGACTTTCAAGACGCCTCGCCAACTCCTCCGTGTCCAGGATGCATATACTTTGTTGCATTGTTTCCATCCCTCGCTTCATGGAAGTCTCTTCATTCAGATCGTCGAGCGGCTTCTTATCGAGAAACCAGACAATCCCATCGGCTTCATCATCGAGTACCTGGCCAAGAGGTATCCAGACGAAACGAGGGCAGCGAAGGTTGGCCATGCCATCTCGCAGCGCACGGGATCTCTTGCGAGCAACTTGACATTAGCATCCAGGTGACGCAAATTATCATAGCTTGACTAGACAGCACTTCTTGCATTAACACGCACAGCTTATGGCGAAGTTGGCGTCAGGCATCTCACAATCTGCCTATTTTACCCCACCTAACCTCCACTGGTGGTCTGCTTAGTCTATCTAAGCCAAGTTATTTCTACAGTAAGGCCTCCCCCAATACACCATGGCGAAGGTTGGATCCGAAAAGTTACCGAGCCGGATTCGTGCGCGTTGTCCAAGATGCATTACGCACAATAACGAAACTCCGTGTCGGGCCAAGGGAGCGGCGATTGACTACATACCTTGCCCTCAATTCGCAGATTTTTCTTGCCCCTCAAGGTTGTGAGTTTCCGCCCCACAACTTTTATTTTACTGGTGAGTGTCATCCGGGGCTACAGTATCAGTGTTGCCCTCTTCTCCCGGGACGCAAAGCAGCACAATTATTTTGACGAGATTAGAATTTACACCAATCAATTATCTCCTCCATCCCCGTGCCAGGACACATGCACCAACGAAGAGCCCCCCTGCAATACTCAGTTGGCTGACATTGAATACCGGAAATAGTTCTAGTGTAAACAACCAGGTCATCTTTGTTTCGCTCATGGCCCGCTAGACCTTGAAAACCGCCTAATCGACGATATGTCGTGAGCACAACAGCTTCTGCGCATATTCCTACTGTTGAACACGATAGAAACGTGCGTTCGTTCGTGTGACGCCATTTTGCATTGCCCGCCCCGATATTCTTGCTCTCGCTGTACTGACGCCGCCCATACATGAATTGACACTGGCCTGATCTGCCGTGTTTTCCTCGGGAAAGATTCCATGCACTGACATTTGGCGTATGTTGTACGTACCAATCACGACCCCTCCTCCCCCTGTGTTCCCCTCCTTCCAGAGGGCAAGAACGGATGAAAATCTAGGGCAGTGGATCGTTACTCTGAAATCGTGCCCCCCTCATATGAATCGCCTATCAACGCCTGACTTTGTACGGTGAACACTCACAAGTGGCAAGCAAAGGCACGAGTTGAACCGTTTCTTTCTTCCCGTTCTACATTCGTCCGCCCCGTACACTCGTGTATGATGAACTAGCCGTGTCGAATCGGAGGAAGAGCAAACAGATTCAGAAGACGACGAGTATTTGGACGACATCGACCTGCAGCCCACAACAGTACCCAAAAAAATCGTGCGGCGTGAATCTGTGTCAGCGGAACAAGTTGGAGCAAACACGGTAAGTGTTCGTTTTACGTCAACATCCAACTACACGGTCTGTAGTATTATTATTTTGTGAACGTTACGCTGTCTAAGCAGTGTGCGCAAATATTTCTACTAACCACTTTTTTTGTGAAACTGCTATTTGCCGCTGTTCGGTTGTTCTGGTGCACCTTTAGAAGCAGCCGGAGCTGAAGATCGTGCCCAAGAGCGACGAGGAGTCCACGAGGATTAATGAAATTCTTCGCGAAAACTTGTAAGTTACGTCAGGTGGTTTAAAGCTTGTTAGTAAAATGCCGCGCAACACCAAGTGTAACTCATCACCTCCAACCAACCTTTTCGCGTATACATCGTTTCAACAGACTGTTCAAGCACCTAGATTCGCAGCAGACGGACCAGGTGAAAGACGCCATGTTCCTAGTCCAGCACGAGCCCGACGACGTGGTCATTCGTGAAGGTACGCTATGTCACGATGACATATAGTCTATGGGTTGAAAATTGCCAAACCCGTTGATATGTAGTACTACTGAAGTATGGTAGAGTCGGGTGGGACAGGAATCATGGTGAGAATTCATCTAAATAGTTTTTCTCTAGGGGTTATGCGGGTCAAGTTTCCTCGTGGGTGCGCAGCTCACGGCCGTTCACACACGACCCACACGCATTTTCTTGTGATGGCCTGGTTGCTGTGGGCTCTGGTTTCAGCCCGTTGTAATTTCAATGTTCTCCCTGTGTGCCTTTCGCAGGGGATGCCGGTGACAACTTTTACGTGATCGACGAAGGCACCTTCGACGTTTATATAAAAAAGGAGGGCGTGGAAACAAAGGTACAAGTGTAATTAATCTATGCATATCGGGTAGTATTTGGACGAAGTACTCGATGTTTTGCAGTTCTGATCTCTTACAGTCAACGGATATAAGTCATGTCTCATGTAGGAGTTTGTTGTTATTTCTGACCCACGACACGTTTACAGCTAAAATCTCTGGGGCCTGGAGAGTCTTTCGGTGAATTGGCGCTGATGTACAGCACGCCCCGCTCAGCCACGTGCAAGGCCGTGACTAAAGCGCGCCTATGGGCGTTGGACCGCATTTCGTTCAAGGTGGGCACTAAGAAGAATGGACGATATTGGTAGTGAAATGTTCTAGGCTCAGCTACGAACTTTGACTTTGGCATAGGGCAAAAAAAATCAAAGCTACCAGATTGTTGTTCAGTACCGACGCTCAAGTCTCTGATAGCTGTAGAAGCCAGTGAAGCTTAACTGTAGCTCAATTGTTGGTTGCATGCTCTTGCGAACCCCGCCAGATAATTCTGCAAGCAACGACAACGGCTCGGCGGAAGCAGCATAAGTCGTTCCTCGAAAGCGTTCCTACGTTGGAGCAGTTGACGGAATACGAGATACTGACTATCGCAGATGCTCTGGTGGAAGACTCGTACGAGGATGGAGACGTGATCTGTACCCAAGGGGAGGTCGGAGATGCATTTTACATCATCAAGAAAGTGAGGCGTGTACCACGTTGTCATCGTTTCCCACGCAGTTAGCGTGAGACATACTGCCGTAGTACCTTGTTTGGTGTACTATACTGAGGGTGATGAATTACTGCCAACATGATCAAATAAAATAAGTGATTTGGAAGAAAATGTCGACCACGCCCTTAAGAAGTCATCTACTACTTCCCCAGCGGGTGGACAGCAGCAGTAGCGAGGCCTGAGGGAACTGTTAACTGTAGCCCTGATTCGATTGCATTTTCATCCCTCGCTGACTGGGCTAAAGTGGCCCCCCGCATGCGTCGACGTGGCAGGGATCCGCCAGCGTGATCCAGACCGATGCATTGGGTGAATCGCAGGAAATCGCCCGTCTGGACATGGGACACTACTTTGGCGAGGTATGTGAAAAACGCATTTCTCTTGATGTCGACAACAAATCTCGGTGCCGAGACGTGCGGACCGCCTTGCGATGAGGGCCTTTGGTCATGCGCTTCTTTGCGTCGCTAGGTTTGTTATTACCTCAGGTAAATGAAGTATTTGGCGGTAACTTGCAGCTGATGTGGAGGAGAGCCAGGGGGCTTCAGTATATGGTGCGCCAACCACAGAGGGGGCTTGCGCCCACACCGATTAGTCGCAAGTCGAATCACCAGTGAAAAATAACGCCGATGTGGATTCAGAGCTTTCGAGTGGGCATGATGCGCGCGATCAGAAATGCGCAAAAATGTTGGGAATGTTGGGGTAGCAGAACCAGTGGGTCCGGGATGGAGCAAGCAACGAACTGTGAATGACTGGCAATGCATCACTTCGTGGGCTTGCTCGAGTGACAGCCTGACCAATCCCTCCCCTATGTGGTACGCAGGTGGCTCTGATATTTGCTCAGCCTAGAGGGGCAACAGTGAAGGCGGTTGGCCCCTTACAGCTTCTGTCACTGGATCGCCGCACTTTCAAGCGGGTCATGGGCCCGATGGAAACGATTCTAAAACGGAACATGAAGGCATACAAGCGAATCGCGGCGAGCAACATTTGAATGTGAAGCAGTGGGCGAAACTTCACCATTAGCCAGCGATACTCGTCGATCAACGCCGGGCTATGAGAAGAAGCGGACGAGAACAATACTTGAGCGTGCCCGCACCGGCCGAAAAATACGGAGGCTTGCTGCCATGGCGAGCGAATTAACAGAAGTGGGATGCAAATCAGCCCAGTACCGTACCAGTATGCGACAACTGTGAATAAAACTTCCTCTTGTAATCCACCTCGGTGGTATTTTGATGCCGACAAAACCAAAGGTATAATGTGAAGTAGTCAACGCACGGCACGTATGCGCAAAACCTAAGCAAGGCACATCACGCGGGTGGTGGACTGAACAACACCTGCATATACGCGGGAGCTGCCAAAAAAAATCATCTCCTATCGTCGCCGTCGCTCTCGACGTCATCTGAAACGCTGGAATTTCCCTCGTCACTACTATTGCAAGTTGATTGAACGCTCACCGCCCCCGAACCGCTGACAGACACTTGTAGCTTATGCCCTCCCGAAACCGCGGTGGTGTGGGCTGTGCGACCCGCTACCCCAGATGCTGGTTTTCTGATGGCCTGTCCCCGCGCAGCCTTACGGTTCTTGCCCGACTGCAGCGCCCCCTTGCGCATTCTCTTCGATAATGCCTTTACGTATTTCCTGCTGACTCCGCGTTTGTAGTCTGCATGTTCGCATGCTGGTGCTGCGTCCAGAGCCGAAGAATCACGACAAGGCGCGCCGGGACCAGCGGGTGTCCTGGGTGTCCTGGTGTCCAACACGTCTCCTCGGGCCTGCACTCCGAACCGCCTATCCCCCCGTATCGGAGTTGCTTGAAACAAATCGTCACTGACACCCCGCTCGGGTGTTTGCTTGGCCGGTGCTAGAGATCTGTAAACAGCTGCCGCCGGCGTGTTGCGTGACATGTCATCTGAAGGGGGCGTGCCAATTCGTTGAGAAATGTAACCCCTTGCGGAAGCATTCCTGGACCGACTTCGAGGTGTTGCAAAATGCTCGAACCACTTCTGTTGGCACTCTTGTGGATTCCTACTGTCAACGTTGCAGGCCACAGCACTCCAAAAGGCGGACGTGGAGGGGGCTATTTCTGCTTGCGCGCGGCGCAGACTGCGCATTTGGACCTTCGTCCACGGTTCCTCCTCGCCATTGACTTCCCGACCAACCGGCTCCAGCCCGCATGCGCTGTCCACGTCGGCGTGATTTCCTGCACTGGGTTGGCCTAAAGGGAAACGGGCAGCTCCTACGACACCCACATCAGGAGTCTTGGTCAAACGCTGACTGCGCCACCAGTCCAAAACAGGCGCTGCTCCCCGTTGGGTGTTCGAGTCCCTTCCTGCTACATCATGTCTCTCGTGTGAACTAGCTACAGTTCTCGCTCTGTTAGAGGCGTCGCTCATGACACGCGCCCGCCGAGAACGAGCGGGTAGCGAATCCCCACACTCCGTACGTGTCGAGGGCACTCCGCCGTCAGCCATGGTACATTCCGAGGAAGCGCGCGGCTTATCCTCCGTATTCGCTCGGGGATGTTGCCATCCCGATATGTTCTTTTCCGAGGAGACGGGCGGCTTGATCTCCGTACTTGTTCGGGGGTGCTGCCATCCCGATATTGTATATTCCGAGGAGACGGTCGGCTTGTTCCCCGTACTCGTTCGGGGATGCTGCCATCCCGATGCGCGTGATTCCGTCGCCTTCTCTCCCAGGCTAGATTCCGATCGCCAAAAGTCCAACACGGGAATTGATATCCGCCCACTTCGTGTAGTCGTTCCACACGCCGATGGGGGTTCCATCTCAGGCTCGTTTGTCCACAGTGTTGATCCCTGCAAGTGAGCGTGCACGCGTGCTCAGTTGCGCCGACAATTTCCAACGGCCACTTACAGCACGATGATGGACTTGGAGACCGCGGCAAGATCAAAACAGATAGTTTCAACTAGAGACTCTCCCGTCGTAGGACCAAAGTTATGCCAATGCCTCCGCAACGCAAACACTCCAAGGCCCGTGTTGGGCAGGAGGTGGGCATGTGCGCAATTGGGAAAGGGACAATTTAGCAATTTAGGGGGCGCCGCTGATGCACAAACAAAAGGGTTTGGGCGGTGCCCCAGGTTCCCGTTCGGTGCACATACGCCCGTTCCACCGCCTGTGCCTAGCTACTGCTGTCGTGTAGCTGCTGTATCATACAACATAGATTAGATAGAAGCAATTGACCACAGCGGTGATCCCTCTTCTCCTCCTCACTACACCTTGAATGCGCCGCATACCGTCCATTTTCTGTGCTGCAGGTAAGATTTTCTGATCACCCTCGTGTCCTCGTGTGGCATGTTGGAGTAAAACCCATCTTCAGTTCAAACCTAGTAATTATTATTATTATACCTGGCGTGTAGACTATGAACGAATCACTCTCTGACAATCCATGGATTGTAAATAGGCGCTTCCTGAACGTATGAACACCAGTCTTGATGTCGATGTTTGGGAAACATACGCCAATCGACAACAGCCTCTCTCCACCTTGCAGAGACATGAATGTTTGCACGATATGCATGTCATGCCTGGAATCTGTTCGCTTGTCGGAATCAAGCATGACATCGCCGTCCCCGATTCAACTGGTATGATGTATGGCATACTGCTGTACCATGTAGACAATGTGGCCTGTTTTCTATTCTGCTCACACTGTTGTGCCCATCTGGGTATTTATGTTTATTGTCTTCGTACAAGAACACCACAAAACCATCTCTTCCACAGCGGGGTCCTTTGTTATTTCCCGCAACACCTGTTCACCCCATCCAGTCAAGTTGAGCCCTGGGCACGCACGGGGGGGCTACATCATCTCTGCAAGTTCTGAGAGAACCACTTACGCTCTTTCGTGCACTACCATGGGTAGGCCATGAGCACTATGCATTCGTCGCGAACCTATCCCTTTTTGTTACCCACAGATACATGTACATGTACGAAGTAGGTGGATTTGTTAGGTCAACAAAAAATACTCCAACCAAATCAGGTGAACCATCTCATCTCTGTTGCCCCGTCAGGGAATGGGTAAATGGCCAAATCGCGATGTACGACCGCGTTCGTGTTTTCATTTTAGCACAGCTTGAACGACCCCTCGGTTTGTTCGGGTGGATTCCCTCTCCGCCTATCTCCAGCAATCCTCTTATCCCTCCCCATCGCTCCTACTCCGACTCCTCCCGGTTCGGTGTCTTTCGTCTCTCTCGTCGATGTGGTCAACCTCGCTGCTTTTTGGAGACTGTGAGTATCGCTTTCCCGTTCGTGGTTTGCGAAAGCGCTACAGGACCTTGTGCAGCAAGTACTACCTTCGCCGGAGAAGATGGCCTACCCTGGAACTTTGCATGCCCTTGTGGCCAGGGATCGACATATGAGGTGTAACAGTATTGGTGACCTTCTTGTCACCACTGGGAATGGCGTTGGCAGTGCTCTGGATGAAAGGCTCAAATCTCATGAGAGACAATCCCGAGCGCAGAGCAAACACCCAGACCGCTACGAGAGTGAGCACACAGCCACAGATGTCTATCGGGCTATCCCAGTAGGTCTTACGGCCGGACAACGTAGGCCATCTGGTTTCCATTCAAGTCCATCAACTCTCGGAACCAAGGCATGGCGGATGTCACCGTCTGATTGTGGCCGTATGATGGACCATGGCATTTTCGGCGTACCGGATAGCCGTATGAACGCGGATCGAAGAAAAATTATGGCGGTGGGTACTATGCAGGAGTTTTGACAGATGGTCAATGGACCGAAAGTATGGGGTTGACAGAACACTGCTGTCCCGAGTTTCGCGGATCTTGCGATTTGTAGTTGGAGCATTTCCTTGCATCCGCTTTGCGAGATCACGATCTGTTTCATGAGGTTCCAACACTGGTGACCTTACACCGCTTTTTATGGCAGCACAATGTTGCAAGAAAAGCTGCAAACGTTTCCTGCAGCTTTTCTTCCAAACTTCGTCAATGGAACATTTGATGCACGCTCTTTTTGGGACAAAACATTTTGTGCACGGGACTGGCGGAATGCGGAGGCGTGATCGTCTTTTTTTTTGCTCAACGGCGAGAAGAAGGCACACGCCGTTCATATTGCACCACGAAATAACCGGTCAGAGCGTGTGGGAGAGGGTAGTTGCAACCTTTTTCTCCATACTCACGATACCCCAAGGCATCTAACCTGGTACCAGAAAGATGCTGGGTAGAGCTAGCTCCCTCGGGGTGGCATTGCTGTTGTTGTTGCCTTCTCGTTCGAAAAGTTATCGCTGGAAAACCAAACCATGCGCACACAATCCCTGCGAACTTGAACCAACCGCTCTCTGACATGGGTACTTCAGGATCGATCAAAACAATTTTCCCGATGAGCACGATACCCCACAGCACCAAATCTTGGGCATGAAGGATGGAGCAGAGAGATACCTCCCACCGAGCGGCCTTGCTACTGCTGTTGCTTCCTTCTTCGGAACGTTATCGGTGGATAACCAGACCCGTGGCGGTCAAAAACATCGAGCTTGAACTATTTAACCGCTCGCGGCCGTTGACGGTTGTGCACAGGTCAAACTTTTTTTCCTGGCGCATTCAGCACCTCACGGCCCCAAACCTTGGCATTTCCCAACAGCCCATGGCATCGCCTCCTTCCAGATACCATTCATGAGGCAACTCGTTAAGAATCCATTGAGATATCGGTGATCACAGCCTCCCCACAATCGATGCTGGAGAGGGTCTACGTGTGCGGTACGGGTAGCAGCTTGACGTGAACTGGCATAATTTCCGCCATGCAGCTTTTCTCATCCCTTTCCGACTCGAGAAAAGCCGCAAAACTTTTCTGCCAGGTTGCAGCTTTTCGCTTTGGAAAAAAAGTTGCACAACTGTTCGTGCAACTCTTACTGAGCGTACGTGCGCAAAGCTGCAAGAAAAGTTGCAGAAATGCAGCTTTTTTTGCAGCATTGTGCTGCCATAAAAGCGGTGTTGGAGATCGTTTTCAACTATTATATGATACGTTGCTTGCTCTACCGTCCTAACATCTGGCAACATTTTATTGGAAGGCAGAGTTGCCTTGTGCACCACATCACAAAACGAGATAGGTCCCAACGTCCTAATCGATTAAGTATGGGGGAGCGTGATGATCGAACGGTCTTTTCTATCCATCGGTGAGGAGCCATTGCTGGTTGTCCACCGTACGTGTACAGCGTGGTAGGCAGCATGTCCTACTGTTTGTACATACAGTTCTATTGTATTGACATGAGTATTTCGCATGTCTTCAACACAAGCTGCTACACAAATCGAAAATCCTTCCGTCAGCGCGTCCCTCTGCCGCTCAGCTCGCCGCCGCTATACATGTTTCTATTAGCATGAATACTTCGTATTTCTTCAACAAAAGCTGCAACACGAATCGGAATACTTCCGTGAGCGAGTCCTTCTGCAGCTAAACTCGCAGAAAATGCTGCAGATGCGTGACGTGGGGTGCATGAACGGGAGGGGAGAATGCTACACAAGAAACAAGGCACGAGCAAGAGAAGACGAGCTGCGCACGGCCAACACGTGAGATCGGTGTCCGTAGCGTTCTCTATCAAAAGAGCCGCACGCCGCGTCTCCTTGTTTAACCATTGATTGAGAACCAGTAGACATCAACAGGCTTGAGTATTTATCTCACGAAGGGCTTCTTTGCGGTTGATGTTGGCGTTCGCAACCGATTGCAGAATCGAAATTTATGGGTGTATAGTACTGTACGATCTCTTCGCGATGTTCGCATAGCGTTTTATGTAGCCGTTGGAGTTCAAATACACCCCCACCGTAGAAACAGAATGTCTAGAGGAGTTCAAGGAGAAGATGTCCGTTGCTTGTGCCGAAGGAGCAGAACATTATCTAAGGAAAGAAACCAAGGATAAGGAGAGTCTAAAGTGTACGGAATGTTGAAAGAAGGAATAGGGTTCAAGGGGTACCTGCATGGACCAATGGATGCAGGGACAAAGCTGAAGGTCAAATTCAGGACCGGGGACATTGGCCTTCGAAAACGTAGACGGAGATTTCGGAAGGTAGACGATAAAGACGAAAAGTTCAAATGTGATTGCGACGCCGAGTGCGAAGACCGGGTTCATGTAGTTGCGGAGTGTTCGTTGTACCAGAAGCAGAGGGAAATGTACATGACTGAGCTGGGAAAAATAGAAGGAAGGTAAAGGGAGATATTTGGGGCATGGAATAGAGAGGGGAAGACGATAGCTGTACTGGGGAGTAGGAAGTGGTTTGAAAAGGCGGGAAGTGATATCGTTAGGATAGACAGACTAGGGAAGACATTTTTGAGCCACCTGAGGCAAAGTAGAAAGGAACGAGTGGCCATCGGTGATCGGTCCTGTGGGATTTAAGCTCCGTCGTCTCGAGAACGTTGGTCAATGGCCAATGGTCTAACCGCTACGGCATGCAAAACATATGAGTACCCCCCCCCAGCCCCCGAAAGCACCGGAACCCCCCCCCGAGACTTTCGCCATACACTGGTGGTGAGGAGTACTATCCTAAGGTGCGTAACTCTGTCAGCACCGTAGTAAAGCTTTCCATCGAACAAAGCCCCAAACAACAGCGGGACTTGCCTCATTAAAATGTTCGTCGCGCAGGTTGTGCGGGAGAGCGTTTTCCTTGCGCAAGAGGCATCTGAGAAAAAGTGCGCACCAACTTATTGAACACACTGCGCGAGTTGATGGCTCAGAAGCAGGCACCAACAAATCACGAGCTACGACGTCGCCGAAAGGGGTTGAGTGGCTGAAACCCTTTGCGACGGGACAGGCGGAACATCTCGGCATACCTGTGATGCCGCGCAACCCCTTTCGAGAAGAAATGGCCCCAAGGTGAGCAGATACGATCACAGCCTTACCTACTCGTTTCCGTCCCTATCGGTTCACTCACATCGCTGACACGGAGCCCTCTAATGCCCCTACGCAACGTAACGTTTGAGTAGAGGTCGCGAGAAGGAGGCGCGGTTTTCCAAGGCAACTTCTTCGTCGGGAGTTGTGTCTGATAGCAGAGGAATCTCGGCGAGAAATAAGGTCGGGGATTTGGTCGGAGCAAGGGTCGTGGCGAAGAAGAACTGTCGGTTAAGGTATGCCACTCGATGGCATGAGATCGCGATGCTGCATCGCCTGTTAGAGACAGGATGCAACAGGAGGCCAGTCAGGGGAACCTTTGACCTGATCATTCGAGCTTTGAGAGGTGGGCCTCGGTTCATATTACCTATCAGAGCGTTCGTTCACAGCAGCCGCTTGAGACACACTTGGCATTCTGCTGGCATAAACGGCTCTGATTTGTCTTCATTGCTGTTTTATCGCGTGGCCACACAAAATACCAAGGGAACAACACTCCGCTGACGGATATCTGCTGTGTGCCTCGTCTCTTGCGTTGTCTGAACCAGAAACAGCCTGCGAAAACCCGTCGCCGGGGTGTTTGTCTCGGCGTCAATTTGTGTCTGCGTTGTCGAGCACGTTGGACCCGTGCGATACTCCTACGCTTCATCGCATCTACAGCAGTTTTGATCCGGATGGGACTGACAAGATACGATCTGAGGACTTTTTGGCCTGCGTGCTGGTGACATACAAACCAGAGACCGAAGCATTCCTGGAAGGGCTTCAGCAAACATTTATCGGAAATTTGGGGTGAGGCAAAGGGGCCGTTTTTTATCTCGTGAGCCAAAGCGCCCCACCCTCTCGTGTGTGTGACAACGCCAATTCGTCCGAATTTGCAACAGTCCTGTTTATGTTTGCAGCGTACAGAGTCATGTATGGCAGACATATTTCGAGTGCCGGAATACCCGACCAGACGAGCCGGCCGAGCCGCATGTGCCATCAGGCAGGTGGTTGAAGGTCTTGGGGATGCTGTGGACATGCAGGTCGCGTGTACTCTCAGGTCGATTTTGTGCACTGCCTTGGAATATTTTCCGTTCACCGTCCAATAGGATCACCTTACATGTATCCATTTATTCGTTTACTTGTACACGTACTGCGAAACAAACGGTGATGGCTTTTTTGTATCGCGAATGCACTGTCCTTTCGAGACAGGGCTATCAGCAGTGAGCTGCACGCAGAGCTAACGAAGGGAAATAGACAGGTCTGCTGGCGGTTTCTACGGCGACTGTTCAGGTTATTCCAAGCCAGATCATCCATGAATATCCCAAGGATCGAGCGCCTGTTCCAACTTTGTGCAACGACCGACGAAGAGTTCTTGCAGGTTTGGGAACAAACACATGGGTGCCCGGTACAGACAGATGGGGGTGTTTTGGGGTTATGGGGAGGGTAAGGACAACTCTGTTCTTTTGCATCGCTTGAGCTCGTGTGCTCAGGACGTTCGCAAATACAGTCGGATGTACGTGGGGAACGCATCATTAGCCTGTACTTCTATCTGGTTAACATACTTATGACGGATTCCGTCCGACTCTTTATTAACTTGCAGATGTCGAAGATTTTCAACGAGTTCTTGCAGAAATTCACTCCAGCAGCTTGCGAGCGTGAGGTGAGAAGTTTGCTGCTTTTGTGATTACGGACACGCGCTACGATTCTTGTTGCTAAATGTTGTTAACAGCACCTTATTTTCTTCAGCATCTATCCGTTTCCACTAGGGACCTTCATGCCGATTGCATCACATAGCTATTTGACGCAATATTTACGCGGAACGCGACTTGAAATAACCTACCCAGGTAATCGGTGAACACGAGTTCGACCTCATGTTCTGTACGGCGTTCGAGCTCTTGGATTTGTTCAACACACATATGACCACGGTTCAGGTATGGCCACGCAGAGCAACGCAAGAATGTGGTGAGGGAGTCCTATTGGGTCATTCACCCTTACCGAGCTTCAAAACGCAACCTACGCAAACATGGTATTCAGCATCAGCTTTAACGTGTCTTGGACAAAAACGAGGCGTGTAGTTCGTTCTCACTTTTCAGCCTGACAAGTGTCACAAGGTAGGTTTCCTGGACTCTTGTACGAACGTACGTGAACATCGCCGCTGGTCACACAGAAGCTCAACTTTGAATGCTGAATGCATGCCCTATTGTGCCTCTCTCGTTCACTGCAGGGCATAGTCAAGCGTACCATGGTTTCGGACTGAACCGAAAATCCCGGCGAGATGGACAGAAACGGGGAGCATGACGCATGACACGGTTTGCTTCGTGGCGGAACGAAAGGATCAAAAAGGATTGCATGTACGCAAAACGCTTGTCTTCACGACACCCAGCAAGGGCAGATACATCTTTCTCTATTTTGGGCTTGCAGGCATTACCGTACAAGACATGTTTGCCAAATAATGTCGGCGGCGTGCCCACGTGTATCGACGTTCGACACGAGACAACGGTCGGGGATCATCCAGTCTACAGTTGACTTCGCTTCCCGTTGTCCAATCCCCACGGCGGAAGGGTAACAAACTCTTCGCTGGCCGTGGGATGAATGGCCACACAAGAGTCGAAGTCAGCCTTGGTCGCTCCTAGCTTCATCGCCACCCCGAAGCCCTGCATCATCTCATCTGCGCCCTCGCCGATGACGTGGAGGCCTATCACCTGACATTGTGTTAAAAAGCGCAATCCCAAAAAAATTTGCACCTTCCCGACGGGACGTCTATCTGATTCTGCGGGACTCACCAAGCACGCAAGCTCGTTTGTTGTTCAACAAGCGTCAAGTGATGCTGTTGTCGCCAGGTGTTTAGGCGCCATATATTCAAAACTAGTCAGTTCCGGATGCGTCCTTTGGGAAGATGCCGAACAACTTGTTTACCTGTTGCTCCTCTCCGAGACAAATCATTTTCATGGCAGATTTTTTCTTTTCGCTTGGGTCGATCTTCCACGGGCCGTACATCAGGTTCACGAACTGTAGCGATAGCGATCGGTACGGCGGAGAGCGAGCGCAGAACGGCCGGGTTGTCGGACTGGAAACTGGAGTGCATTAGAGGGTTCAAACTGGGGGGAAAGTCTAGCAGTGTTCCTTGTGAAGCGCTCGCAAGGTATACCCCAAAGCAGTACAACCGTAGATTTCGTTGGGAACGGTGCCGTGTCAACTATGGATGCAGGTGGAAACATGCCGCCTCCTATTGTGTGCGCAGCTTCGTTCTACACGTCGGACTCGATATCTCCTATCTCTGAGAGGGAGCAAGCTCAAGAGATGCGCGTCGAGCACGGTCTCTGCCGACAAATATCCCTGCATTGGGCCCTCCGTACCGTGCTAGAGTAGATCTTGATCTTGTCCTCTCCGTGCTCCTTGATGGCTTGCTCTTCTGTAAAGCCTATCGTACCGATTGGCGGGTGCGAGAAAACCACCGTCTGCAGTCACAGACAAGGAAACGGCAACGAGAATGAAAAATACACAAACGATGCCACAGGAGGTGGTGCGAAGTGTGAGTGACCTTGGGTAAGTTTGCGATACGCACAGTCATTGCCAACGAAAACGGACCCTTGTAGAGGTAGTGGACATTTTTTGGTCGCTTTCGACTCACCGGGACGTTGTTGTAGTCCGCCTTAGCGCCGTCGACACCACCAAATAGACGGTCAGACAGTCGTCGCCCTGCCGCGATCGCCATAGGCGTCAAGTCCACCTGAGTGACGCACACGAACAACGCATGTCAGCTCTGCCGTTTGCCCAAAATGGATACAGAGCTCCGCCTGCGCTATTTGATTGGCCAGCTTAAGTGGAAAGGTACGACCGTGCAGTGCTCTCTTCAAACGACACAGGAAGACCCAACAGGGGACAAATGGCGTGCTGCACGAACGCGAGAGGAAAAAAACTCACCATCTTGTCGCATGCATCCCCCACAGCATAAACCCCTTCCACGTTCGTGTTCTGGAATTCATCCACCTGTGTAAAACAAGTAGAGGCAACGCCTTGTTGGATCGCACGTTCGCGACCCTGTGCTGCATCGAGAACATTGCGGTGTTTCGGCAGGCTGCTGGTGTGGGGCACCACGCACGATTCAGAGCACCTATATGTCACGGAATCATACGCAAAACATGCCACACGCCACCAGGCCGCTCGGTTCTCTTGCTACCGGCCTGTTCTGTGTTGACTCCAACGGCGTTATTGGTTGGCAGCGCTGAGGGCGAGAAGAACCTCTCACCGTGATGCGCCCTCGGTCGGTCTTCACCCCTGCGCTATCCAACCCGAGCTTGTCCAGGATCGGTTCGCGACCGGCTGCTACCAGGACCTGGTCAAAGCCTCCCAGGCTTTCTCCGTCCTCCAGCGTAAGCGTCAGCGTGCCGTCAGCCTCTTTCGTCACGCTCTGCAGCATCCCAGGGTCGAACAAGGCAGGGCAACAGTAACCCCGAACATGAAAATACCAAGTCAACGAACAACCCGTTACAAACAGCGGCGCGCGGTTAGCACTCACGGACCTAAGTGTAGCAAATTGTGTCTGGAGTGACAGCGAAACCCCGCAACACCTTCGTTTCGTTGCCCCCAAAGCTGCTTCAGTATGTGCTACCAAACAAACACCTCATCTTCGCTTCATGAACAATTGTCCTGAAAAATGATTGCAACTGGTTGTCAGCAAGCACGGGTGTGGCAGAATATTTCACGTGTGGCTAGGCTGGGGAGCGAACTGAAAAGAACTTGAACATAGTTGGGTACCATAATTCGGACGCGATATTTTCCGTATTTTCCATCCTCTCCCAGGGTGCATCCTTGCCATCGGGGTTGGGTTTTCGTCGCTTGGCAACGACGTTGTACAACAAGCCAATTCACTTCGTGAACTCGGCAACCAGGTTACCGCTTTTTTTCTTTACCTCTGTTTTTTTATTGCGGTAATCATAATGGTTTTCGAGTAGATCATGTTGTGCGGGGTGGAGAACCCTCACTCCGCGCAAGGGGGATGATCGCACCACGTTGTGTTGAAATGGTCACGCACCCTCGAGGCAGTTACACAGTGCTTACAACTGTCTCAGGAAGTGAAAGCACCAGAAAACAAAACTAAGTCATACGCAGCTGTCATTCGTATGCAAGGAAGTAAGCACAAGATGCTGAACACCCTTAGCAGGATGCAGCGCACCGTTCATGCGACTCGCCGAATATCTCACGGCGCTTCGCGCTTGGTGATGTGAGAGCCTGGTCCGGTGAGAACCCGGCGTGCTCCGTCCCGGCTTTGTAGGGATGCGAGGTCAATGGNCCGGCATCGGGGTTGGGTTTTCGTCGCTTGGCAACGACGTTGTAAAACAAGAAACAAGCCAATTCACTTCGTGAGCTCGGCAACCAGGTTACCGCTTTTGTTTCACCTCTGTTTTTTTTTGCGGTAACCATTATAACGGTGGTCGAGTGGATCATGTTGTGCGGGGTGGAGAAGCCTCACTCCGTGCAAGGGGGATGACCGCACCACGTTCTGTCAAATGGTCAAGCACCCTCGACGCAGTTACACAGTGCCTTTAACTGTCTCTGGAAGTGAAAGCACCAGACAAGTACTCAAGTCATACGCAGCTGTCATCCGTACGCAAGGAAGTAAGCACAAGATGCCGAACACCCTTAGCAGGATGCAGCGCACCCTTCATGCGACTCGCCGAATATCTCACGGCGCTTCGCGCTTGGTGATGTGAGAGCCTGGTCCGGTGAGAACCCGGCGTGCTCCGTCCCGGCTTTGTAGGGATGCGAGGTCAATGGTCTAACGACTACGGCATGCACGACTATGAGTACAGCCCCCTCCCAGGCTGCGCAGTATAGGAAGACAAAGAGCTGAATCTACCTAACGCCAGCCAACATCACGCCAGACACACCGTGCGAAACAAACCCAAACTTCGCTATTTACCTTTGTCGTGGCGTGAGGTCTGACCGTCAATCCCGATTTGCCCATTTCTGACATAAGAGTGTCTACCATCAGAGAGTCAAACGTGCGGAGGGGCCTGTCACGTCGAACCAGAAGCGTGGTGTCCGTCCCCAATGAATGGAATACCCCGGCAAGCTCCACAGCGATGTACCCCGCGCCAATCACTGCTACCTTCTTCGGTTGCTCCTGCAAGATGTGGTACACAGGCAGAGGCGCAACTAAGAGGGTACGATGCGCTACTCGAAACGCGGCACAGCAGCAAAATACCAAACGATCTTGTCATCTGTGCCTGTCGCAGCGCACGAGGAAAATCGAACGAGTGTCCACGGTTGATCAGATCAGTTCACGACAAACGACAAGAGTGTAGAACATGTGCCTATACTCAACGGCAAAAGAGAGGACAGTTCCTGGTTCAACAGCATGTAACACCACACTGCTGCTGGTGCCAAAGGCGGCGAAGAACCGAACAACGGCGGTAAGAGTGACCTCTTCCATAGTTCAAGGAATTGACTATCCTACCAAGAGACTGTGCAGTCATGTCGTACCTCTAGCTGAAAGAAGCCGTTGCTGTCGATGCAGTGTTCCGCTCCTTCAATAGAAGGCATCGTGGGTCTTCCGCCGACAGCAACAAGAATGTGGTCGGCGGTGTATTCCACTCCTTCCACTTGCACCGTTTTTGGCCCAACGAAGGATCCATACTGCACAGAAACAGGTATCAACGTGTATATCCATCAACCAACCGCCAGACCGCAAAATTGTACGAGATAGATACGGGAGTCGGAGATGGTGGCGAATCGGCTACAAAAGGTGCTCTCGCAGCTCGTCCCCGTCCCGCATATGCATGTATCAACCTGTTCTTTCAGCAACCTTTTGATAAGGTGATAATGCCGGGGTAATTGTAGCTGTAAGTGCACCAACCACGCCTACAGCCGTACAGCGGAGACAATAACGCCAACACTCTAGATATGTGTGGGCAGTCTACCGACCGGACACTCACACCCTCGATGATCTTCACCCCAGAGCTCCCCAGGTTGCGCTCGTATATGCCGTTGAGGCGGGTGATGTACGTGTCACGGGCTTCCTTGAGGGTGGGCCAGTCGACCTTGCCAGCTGACGTGACCACGCCGAAATTTTTCGCCTCGTTGACCATGTCCATCACATGGGCACTATTCCACATGACCTTTGCGGGAGAGTGAAAGTCACGCAGGTGAGAGGTAGGAGGTGCGTCGAAAGTGTGGTTAACGAGGAATTTGTTGACAGGCGGTCTTCGCCGTAATCGCATCGACAAAATGTCAGCAACGTAATAAAGGCAGGAAGGGTTTCATGCAAAAATGACCGGCTTCTCGTCCTTAGCTCGATTCGATTACAACGGAGAATGCATGGGCCTCTGAGCAACAGAACGGTTTGATAATGAATACGTTACAGCGGTTCTCTTCTGCGCAGCAGTAGCGGAGCTACGTTCGGTCGAGGGTTGCGCACAAGAACCCCTCCACACAGGCTGCAGCGTGCCAGCGTCTAGACTAGACCGCTGCTGTAATCCGTATTGTGAGACCGCACTACCACGATGGTTTGAACCAGCGACGGTGAACTTCGAACACTTAGAGGATACATTTGAAACACAAAAGGTGACCCGTTGCATAAGAGTCGAGACATTGTTCGAGACATGGTTCCCTCCCTGCACCGGTGTGTCGGATGTTGGGAGGAAGCAAACGTTTCGATCAATTGACCCGTCAAATCTCTTCCTCACCTTCTTCGGGACGCAGCCAACGTTCACGCAGGTTCCACCCAAAGCACTTGCCTCGATGACAGCCACCTGAGGCAAAACAATCAAGCTGTCATCAGAGATGAAAGGTGTACACTAGTAGGTAGAGACGAAAGGTGTTTACTACATGTATTAGCAGTACACATGCCACTAGTCTACATTACATACCAATAGACGAGCAAATAGCGGCGGCCGGTGTCCTTCGGTGTATTGATCCCGTGTGTTCCTGTGCGTTCATGTTTTAAAAAAAGTTTACTGCTGTTGTAGATCACATCCAGCTGGCAACCCACCTTGGCGTCATAAGTCGCAGCTCGGCGGGCACTAGATACCCCCCCAGACCCGCCCCCTATCACTAAAAAGTCAAAGTGCTCCGCGGAGGCCATGCAAGGAGTCGCCCACGTCGCTCCCGCACGGCTTAGCAGCCTCCGAGGAGTTACAGCTGTTGTGGATGTCCGTCGCAGAGCCGCGCCCGCTGCGAAGTGACTCATAGTGAAGGATGAAGCCCCGCAGGCAAGCGATGCAAGCGTGAGGCCTCTCAGGCCACGGAGAGATAACATGGCAGAAGTGCGAAGTGGGAGGAGGGCAGATGTGCACAACAGGCTGCCGGTTCAGCGGTTCAGCGCGCGTTTGAGAAGAGGGAGTTCGATTTTGTCGAGAAAACGTTCGTGTGCTCGAAAAAATGTTGCGGTTGACACCTCGGAATCGGTTTCGTTTCCCCCGACGACTCACAGAGCCACCTTGCTTGCTCTGATCTCTTGATCGCATCTTGTTTGATCACAGCAAGTGTGAACTACTACCCGTAAGAGATAATGACCCAGTCGAAGGGATGCAATGTAGTCCTTACAGTGAGTGGGAAAAGTATCTGACACTACCCGCGAAGGCGCTAATCATCGACCCCATCAAGTTAGTATCTAGGCATGGACACTACAAAAAATATCTCAGGCAGGAACCGCAGGAGGGGGTCCAACCCCCCCCTCCTGTGTGACCCCGGTTGGGTCGTCTAACTAGTAGAAGTGGAGGATAGGGGCCAGAGGGGCAGACGACAGAGTCCAATGATGGAAGAAAAAAAAAAAAACAGCAGCAGATCGTGTGGTGCTTGGCGCACACAACCCGCCGCACCACACCCTACGTACGGACTACGGATTTCCTCTCAAAATTAGGTGTTCTAGGTTGTCCCTTTTTCAGGATGACCCCCCGATGCGTCTACGATGCTTAACGAGCACCACGGCAGCCGTTGGCCTGATACAACGATATACTTTTTATGCGGTACCACTCTATCTACCCTGCTGCTGTAAACCCACCGGAATCACCACGCACGTCAAAATTGTAAGATTGGTCAGACACGACAGATATCTACATACATACAGATGAAGGTTAGATCCCGTAATATTACTCTACACGATGTAGACTTGGAATAGCGAGGTCGGAATGGTTTTCTAATGTATAGACAACACAAATACCAAAAGTAGGTGTGGACATACTCTGAACTATTAATTACTACGGCTGCTGCTGCTGCTGTAGTCTACGTAGTCTAACAACTACCGATCGCTCTCTTTTGTGCTGACAGAGTAAAATATAAGGTGAACAATCAAAAGGCGTCCACTCTGCGGCTTGCTTGTAGAGTAAGTTGCGAATCACCACGCAGCAGTCCAGCTACATATAATATGCATACGATGGTCCATAACTACATAGATTCCGGCGTTGTTGTCGCAGAGGTAACTATTAAAAATGATGAGTGCCCGCGTAGGTCTCAGGTGGACCCGATTCGGAGGGTATCCATCGATTGACTTTTATCTTCGCATACATATGGTGTCATCTGCAGGACACGGCATGGGTGGGTTCGAATGAACCTCTAGGAGGAGCCGATCCTTTAAGGAATCTGTGGTACCTCTGTCGAATTCTTACCCGTCCTGCCTCCGATGGATTCCCAGTTGTGATGGCAAAACTCTGTGGGTCGTTGCTGTTGTCGTTGTCTTCCCATTGTTGATAAAAACCATTCCAGTCTCTGCTCAGTACATTCTAATGTCCGTACTGGTCCATCCAACTGACGAGGACGCCTTCCGCGGTCACAAGCCGACTGCCCCCAAAGGGGGGTACACCTTTCTAAAAAGAAAACTTTTCCAAGAAGAAAAAATCAAATTGAAATAAAATGAGAAATGGCCTAGGGACCCCAGAAAAAATCCTCCAACGCGCGATTTGATTTCTACCCCAACCAACGAAAAAACTAAGAAAAACCAGCCGGAATACAGACGATCGACCCCGCCCGGTGAAAAGGGATGAAAGGACGAAAGATGAAGAAGGAAAGAATAGAAAGAAAGAAAGACAACGGGCACAAAAAGGAAGGTAGACAGGTCCCAGCGAACGCTCCAGTCTACCGGGACAACTACTAACGCGACACCGATCAGATGACTGACTTACGACGACAACAACATCACTTCGGGGCACTGCGAGGGGGGGGGGGGGGGGGG